AAACCCCAATATTTAGCTAGTTGTAGTCACAATAAGCCTTTAACTATTGTTTGCATATTGCAAACTCATATTTCCATGCACATGTCTTACACATCCCGTCACAATGCACTTTAACATTTTATGTCACCCCTAAAAAAACAACTCTAAAAAGTAAACATAAAAAGATCTCTCCTTACAAATAAAAATTTCTAACTAGTAAAATTCATAAAGATATGAGTTTCATTTTTTTCCAAAAGAACAGCCAATACCTGGAACTAACAACAATGTATGTTATTGTTACCTATAGGAAGAATATTGACCAGATAGATAAGAAAAACCATATTGTCTCGCCCATATTTAAAATTGAACAAAAATGATCAGCGTGAAGATGATGAGTCCATAACAACCGAGAGCAGTGGCGAGCTTCACAAACTAATCCCAAGGAGACTAGTGTATAATCAGTACAAAGACATCTTCAAACAACATATTAACAACAAAGAGTGGTGGTGTTTTGTAACGCCTCAAAAATAGGCCTATCAGAATTAATTAATTAATTGATAATTAAATAATTACTAAGAAGGACCCAAAAATAAGTAAATTATAAAGTTCGTCAATAAATAATGAAATTTATAGCATTGTGTAGAGTTTGACTTTTTGACTGCAACGGTTGAATCGGATTTCTATTCGGAAAAAGTTGGACCAAAAAGTGTCCCTCGACTGGACCAAATATGAGTCCCAATCAGGGACTACACACCAAACGGAGCCCTGTGCAATCACCGCCGAATACAATCGATCAAAGAATCGCGGAAGTGGCAAGCATGTGTCTTCTTCCTTCTTTCCCTTGCTATATAAGGAGAGCCCCCTCCTTAAATTCTTCACCAAAACGTAACATCTCATCTCTTCTTCTATCATGTTCCTTGCTAAGAGAGGAGTGTAGTGGTGCTGTCATTCTGGTGTGAAGTCGCCGGAACGAAGAGTTATCATCACCGAAAGTTTCGCCGGAAAATTTGTAAAACCCCAGATAAGCTTCGAGGTAAGCCCGTAGATATATCTAATGATTAGAATGTTCATATATGTCGTTTCTACGTTCATAAATTGTAATTTGGTTGAGTTTTGTCTTTGACATGCTTGAAGAACTAAGAATCATAAACCTTGAACTTGATGTTAAAACTATGAACTAATGATACCAAAATGATCTATGAACCTTGGAGAACATTTTTATATAGTTTAATTGAATTTCGATAACTAAAAATGGGCTTTTTGAAATTGGGCCCGAAACGAAGAAGAAGATGAACAGTGATCGAAAACCAGCAGGGTGGATCAATCCACCCCACTGGATCGATCACCTGGGGAAGTTTCTCTATGGTGGATCGGTCCTAGGTACAAGATCGATCCCTTGATCTGTTTGCTCCAAAAATATTTCTGAGAATGTTATTTTTGAGCTCTAAAATCTTATTTTTGATACCAATCAATTATGATCAACATAAATATGATTTTTTGCAATGAAAATGATGTTTTTAACAAATAAAATGCTATATGATGCATGACGGTAAGCTAGGGTCTTAACACTCGACGCTAGGGCGTTATTGGTTATTGAATATTGTGACGATTATTATTGATTGATGATTATTGTTGAATGGTGATTATGATGATTAAATCTTGATGAATATTTTGATTAAAATGGTAATTATGAATCATTGAATCATAATGAATATATTGATGATTGTAAAAGAAAAGTGCATTGTTAAGGATATCTAGAATAACTCTAAGATATATTCATAGTGATGTTGATTTTGAAAGGATATCTAGAAGAACTCTAAAATATACCCATTAAGTTAGGTCTTGCAGGTATGATGCCCAGTGGCCAGGGTTAACACGTACATACGGATCCAAGAATCAAACTTGAGTACCTACTCGTTTGGGGGTACCACCCAACCTAACAGTGAACATTACGTTGTCGGTTTCTGGTTGACCTTAAGCGAAGCTAAGTTTAAAATCTTAAAAACCTTTTTGAAAATCTTATCTTAAACTAGGCCTAGTTTAAGTCCTTAAACTATAATTAGTTTAGGAACTGAATTGGCCTTAGACTAAGAATGGTTTAAGGATATTGTTGAATATGAATGTTGAATATTAAGTGATGAATGTTGTATAACGATTATTGAATATCTGAAGTGAACATTATGTGTATGATATCAAATGTTTTGATAATGAATTGAGATTCAATTTATATGGATGTTCGATCGATGCTTTAGATATGCTTACTCAGCTTCACCGCTGAGCGTGTAGTATGTTTTATTTGCTATACGCAGGTAGGCAGAATGAATGAATGACATATTCCTGGCAGCGGAAGGGATGAGACAGTCGTGGTGGATTTATGAATAATAATTGTATTATTATGAGACATGGTTTAAATGTTTCGCTTCCGCATTATTAAACACTCCGTATTTTAACAGTTATGTATTGAATATTATTATTTATGATAAATAAAGATGTTTAAAATGTTTTAAATTTAAGATTATCGAATTAATACTTTAGTCCAAAAAGGGGTTGCAGGCCTGGACGGGTTAGGATGTTACATGTTCCCCGCCATCCTAGGACTTACATGGTATCCACATTGGCCATCCTGGGCGTTCCCTCCTCCCCAGACCTTTAAGCCTTAGTGGCATCAACAACATCATTCTTAGTAGGTCTTGGACCGAACCCGAATATAAATAGGACTTAAAGTTTTTGACATTCCTATAACGTAACGTTTAGACCCAATTTAAAACACGGTTCAAGCGGCACTTTGAATCTTTATTCGATCAAGCAATGTTAGTTTCACAAACAAAACTATCACAAACTTCACAAACTTTTCATTTCAGATGTAAATTTTCATTTTAAAATTATTTTAGACTACTTCATTTTTTTATTGAAGTTCACAAATAGTAAATTTGTGAAATTTGTAACAACTTTGTTTGTGAACCAAGCATTTCCCTATTCGACTAATAAATATATGAGTACTACTTGCCTTGGAATATGATCATCTACACTATTTGGTAGAACCATAGAATGGCCGGACTATTCATTCTATAGATCTTGGTTTTGGCCTAGATGCAATTATGGGGTGTGTCTATCCAAATTCGAACCGGGACTGAATAATAAATATTTCTTAGATCGGAGACCGGCCGGAATAAGATAAGGACCGGCCAGAAACCGGACCAAATTAGGCCAATTTTTTTAATTTTAAATTAATCTTATCTATTTAATTTAAGGTGTCAATTCCAACTGGTAAACAAAGTATTACTATTACTAATTTGTGATGTGTAACACACTAAACAATTAAACATTGTCAATCACTATTATTTGATTTTTTTAACATGCATAGTATCAACAATACAATTAAAACATGCATGGCGTTTTAGATATAAATTAAAAAGCCAACAATAATATTATTGTAATTCTCCATACAACACTGAGGACGAAAATGTTTGAGATGCTATTGTAGATCACAATTCACAACCCTACACTCAAACCTTACATACATCTTTTTATAAGTAAAAATAGTACATTATTTTAAAAGGGTAAAAATTTTAAAAAAGTTCTTTTATTCTTTCCACACAAAAAAATCTTTTTTGTGATAGGAAATAAAAATGTATTGAATTAGTCTTAAAAATATTGTAACCTAATTTGTAAGAAAAAACTTTATTAGAATTGCTATTTTATTTAGATTGACTATTTGAAAAAAAAAGTTGTGATAAAAAAATACGACTAATATTGAATTAGTCGTAATGTTATTGTAACATGAGCAAAATATAAGAAAAAACTTCAAAAGTTATATTTTATTATTATATAGAAAAATATTTAAAATATAAAAAAATAAATTTGACCGGTCCAGCGATTAGCACCGGACACCGAATAAGAGATTTTGGAGGACCATAGATCGGATCGGAAAGGGACCAATCTGTTCCGGTCTGGTTTTGACCGAGTTTCCAGTCGGTCCTGGACTATTGTTTGAAATAAGATGCATTGTAGCTAAAAGCCTAAAAAGCATTTAACGTCTTGCTAGACTACTGTTTTATAATACATGTAAATAAATCACAATGTCAAGGAATGTTATAAAGCTGTGGTGATTACATTTAAACTTTAGTTTTCATTTTTTCCATCTTTATGCAATATTTTTCTTTTTTTGAATGCTTTATGCAATATCTTATTCCTTCTCTCCAAAATTATATCGGTCACTTTAATTTTTCAGAAATTAAGATGTTAGAATCTTGGCTTGTAACGGGACAACTTTAGACATAAATTTGGTAGGATCCACAAAATTATTTTTCTAAAATAGCTAAGGACAATTAATCTCCAAAGTGAGATGAGTGTTTCGATATAATATCCCTTAAAAATGGTAGTGGTTAAATGAAAAATTAATTCACAAAGTTTAATACTTGGAAGATCAAAAGTAAAAGCCCTCGTATCCCACATTGGATTTGCACTACAAAAAAAGAAGGCAATACCGACAGGGGTCAATATGTCGCTAAAGGTTGAATATCTGTCGCTACTCGCTTTTACCGACAGATAAGTGTCTGTCGCTACGCTGTCGCTAAAAACTCCGTCAGTAAAAGTATTACCGACAGATAAAATATACTGTCGCTAAAATAGTGTAATAGCGACAGACCAAAGATGTCACTAAAAACGAGGGGAGTACCGACAAAACATTTATGTCGCTATAACATGAATTACCGACAAAAAATAGTGTGGGCAAATCCTTCTTTTCTGTCGGTAATACATTGTTTTTACCAACATTAATATTTATTATAACTGTCGCTAAAAATTGGATTACCCACAAAAACATTGTGCGAGTAAAATATTTTTTCTGTCGATAATAGTTTATTTTGACCAACATTAACATTTATTATTACTGTTACCAATATCATGTTTCACACCAGCATGCTCTATTTAAGTGATATCAAAGAATTTCATTGACAAATAAAAAATAATACTCATATTTGTATTAACAAAAATATATAACCCAATAACATTTCAAAGGGTTACAACTAACCTTTTTACTAGAAAGTAAACCAACATCACAAAATTTGTTCACCATTTGCATATGTTTCAAGCTAAAGTATAAATAGTCAAAGTGAACTAAATTAAAATATGATTAGAAGATATAGTCCAAAGCTTTAATGCTCGTCACTGTCTACATCTTCAAGTTCATCGCTCTCAGCTTCATCATCTTGGTTCCATCGATCCTCATCATGACTTTTCTAAGTGATTGTATTACACTATTACCATCATATTGATTAGACGTTGAACCCTATGCAAAAAAAAATATAAGCACATGATAACGTAATTAAAAACTTTGCCCCAAATTTACCTTATACTCGTGCTAGGTGGCATAAATTTAAACTATATAATGAACTAAAAATAAAATGAAATGTGGGTAGTTAACAATGATAAATAGAGACTAACCAGGGTATTTAAAAGCAATGATACTACATCTTCTAAATTCTGGGGTCTTTCTTTTGTTTCTTCATGCTCTTGTTCAATTTTCAATCTTTTTGCTTTCTTTTCTTTCAAGGCGCACCGTTTAGAATGAGATCTCAAATGCTTTACCTGTTCCCAGAGAGTTTCTTAACACAAGCTCCATGTCAATAGTAAAAGCACAGACAAAGCAAGAAGAAAAAAACAGTTGAATTATGGAATGTAAGGGATCAAAGATGTACTGATGGGGTTCAAACTCATTTATATCAATTGATTTTGGATTGTGTGTTACATATACGTTGTGACGGAATTTGTAGGAAAAGCTTGGTAGTTTGTGTAAATGTCAGATTCTTCCTTTTCCAAAAGTTTAAAAAGGAAAAATAATATAAATGGTACAAATCTTAGTTTAAGATCAGAATGAATAACATATTCTTTCCACCTAATTTATATAAGAAAGTGTCAGCCATTATTGATGGGTAGAAGTGCAATGCTACAGATGCATGAGTGTTATAGCAGTTCAAGCTATCACTACATGAGATATGGCAGTGACTTTGCACAAAGCAACTATTGACTCATACTCTTTTGTCATCAAAAAAGAAAAAAATGCATACCAATACTTGATCCACATAATCAAGTCGATCAGGATGTAAACGAAGTGTAAAAGTCAAAAGAGAGACATACAAGGAAACAGCTCCAGCTATAGGCATGTCAACTTGTGCTTCTGCTGCCTGACATTTGAAAATCTATTAATTTCTTGAAAGAATATAGCAACATCACTCGCAACTGCATTCTCGTACAAATAGAGCCCTGAACTATTAAAAAGAAGAAACATTTTTTCCTGATAAACTTAAATATAAGAAACACATTAATCTGAAAGCAAATATAAGTGATCCAAGTGTTACTTTGAGGGTTTAAGTAAACCTAACAGTTTCTTCACTTCTTGGCTTCTTGCATACACATATTTCACTACTATAAAAATACATTTATGTAATAACAGAATAGCATGCGCTTATATTTCATATAGATTAATAAACTACAGTAGAAATCACCAATCGTGTGATGTCTGAAATTATTTGATGTACCCAAATTACCGAAAAGAATCTTTGTGGTCAAGAAAAAGGTGTTGAAGGTATGTGGTGGACTTTGTATTGCCACAACATAGTCATGATAAAACAAGAGTTCAATGAAAAGAGAAGTAAAACTAAGTCAACAGAGTAACAAGAACATTACAACAGCAACAACATTATGCTAGTGCCTCAAAGGCTCCCGCCCATTACGGGGTACGGGGGTCGAAGTAACAAGAACATTATAGCAAGAAGTACACTTTGCTGCATTAATCTTATATTGTAATTACTTTCATACAATGGATTGACACTGAAAAATTCATGTAATCAGTCCCAGCAAAGTTGGAATTAAGGTGACATTGATGATGATCAGATTTACCTTCCAAATGGCATTCCTCAACTTGGCAAATGCTTCAACTTGAAGGAACTCGGGTAACACCTGAAAAGTCCCTTCATGATTTTTTTTAGCCATTCATGATTTCAAGAAACAAAATCATAAGACAAGAACACATCAATATTCAAACAAAACAATCCAACAATGAACACCAAAGTAGAGTAAAAAAATCTAAGAAATTAGTGAAAAGCTTGGATTGGAACACTAAACAAAGAAGGATGAAGAAAAAGGACCGGAATCTGCCCTCGTTCGTCCGACAAAGACTAGGGTTTGCCGGAAGTTTGGCTCTGCTTCGCCACTAGGAGCTTTCGTCCACCGCTGCTGTCGCAATCGGAGAACCACCCAACGTCGAAGAAGTAGTCCGTCCCCGATCTGTCTATCTTCTTGCGCAATTCCGATTGAAATTGCGAGCCCTCCGTCCAAACTGTCCATTGAAGAAGTGGCCAGTTATTTCAATCCCCGGTCCTTTTTCTCCCATATCCAGCCCTCTAACAAAATTAAAATTTATCAAAATTAAAAATTGGCCGGTTTGGCTCCCATTTTAAAAATTAAAATGTTTACTTGGTCTTTTCCTAATAATTAGATTCTAAGGAGCTGTATTCAATTTGGATTTTAAAAGATTTTGATAATTTGTTTAAAATCCATGGATTCTCTATATTCATTGGATTGTTTTAAGTTTACGGATGAATTAGATTCTAAGTAGGTGTTTTCTTCCTTCTCGTTTTTTATTTGTTGATTTGTTCATTTATCATATGTCTTGATTCTATTCGGTCAATTTAGACCTTTAATGAAATTTATAACTTAAAAATTTGAAATTAAAAATTATAATTTTTAATTTTTAAATATTCAATATAAAAAAATTATTTTTGATCTTTAATTTTTAGTTTTTTATCATTTAAATTTATAATTCATTTTTAATATATTATTTTTTTGTGCGACCAAACAACAAAATTCAAATTGAGATTTTTCATTTCGAGTTTCATGACCTCAATTTCGTGTACTAAATGATGCCTAATTTTATGGTTTTTATAATTAAAATATTTAAATTAAATGTCAATATAATCAATACCCACAGATAAAACGTTGTTGCTAAAACTATAAACAATACCGATAGATAAATTTTTGTTGCTAATACTATAAACAATATCGACAGATAAATTTTTTGTTGCTAATACTATAACAATACTAACAGATAAAATTTTGTCGCTAAAACTATAAGTAGTACCGACAGATATAAGTTTGTTGCTAAAACTATAACCAATAGCGACAGATATTACTCTTTCTGTGGGCCAAATAGTTTTTTCCTTCAAATAATTTTATCTGTCGGTAATATTCTCTTTTTAGCGACAAATAAGGTTTCTGTCACTAAGGATCTGTCGGTACTGCCCTCTTTTTTTTGTAGTGTTGATACCTTTCATCTTCCACCATTTATATGGTCGTATAGAACTAATAAAAGTGCATGGTAAAGTAGTTTGGATATTATTTTCATTTATTTCCCGCTGTAATTATTTTTGAGCAACATAGAATATTGGAAAAAGTGGAAAAGCTCTACTAGGACAAATGGAGTAGTACGTTAGTGCTCGTAATATTTGCAGTGAGGATTTTAATCCATTGAAATATATTCGTATACTATCCTTTATATATATTATTTGAGACTCGGGCTCACAGAATGTCGACATGTGGCGGGTCTACTTGCAAGTTTTTTATGAGTCATCCGCCACCTTTGAAGAGTTTAATGACTTGGCACTTTTATATTAAAATTTAGAGAGATCCAATTTTAATTAATATGCCTAATATATACGGAGTACCTTATACGGCGACTAGAATATAATTACGAAGTAGAATTAGGATGAGTAATTTTTAAATTTTTTTCTAATGTATTTTGATTAATTATAATGAGTACAATGTAAAAAAAACATCATAGTTCTTTCTACTGATAATATATGTTTAATTTATTTTTATGTAAATTAATTATTCCATTGAATAATAATAATAATACATTTAAGTTAGAACAAATTGAAAAGGTTAAAAAGGAGAAAGACTATTATAGACGTAAAGTATAAAAAAGTATCAAAATTACCTATTTTGACTTCTACCTCAATACTTCTCCCTTCTAACTATTATTGTCATTTGAGTTTACTTTCATCTTTTTTTATTGTGTATTCTAACGTCTAACATTTGATAATTTTAAAAATAATTAAAATTTTGATTCTATGCATTTTTTAACTGAGAAAATTATAATATCCAAAGTGGACACTTAATCATATTATTTAATAGAGAGAGAATCGTGAGTATTTCTTTGGTGCACCATCATTTTTGTGGACCTTCTCACATAAAATATATATTTTTAATTTTTTTATTTTTAAAAACAAATGCTTATTTTAGTAATAAAGAAATTAATACTTATTTTGCTCATATGTACGTCTATGGTACACCTTAAGTCCACCATAGAATTTGTCGAGAATCATTAATATGTTTAAAATGAAATTCATCTATTGAAATAAGACTTTCAATGCGTTAAACCAACGATAATAATTTTAGAATTATTGAAGATATTTTTTGAAAAAAATGCAAACCCAATGTTGACTACTTAAGTGAATTATTTTTGGGGAAGCCTAATATAAATAAATAACCTTAGATATTTGAAGAAAATTATACTACTTCCGTCCCATAAAATNCAAATTAGAAAAAAGGCGCACCCTAAAATCATTTATCCTACACATCATACCTTATTACCTTATTATAAAGTAAATGAAAAGTTTAAAAATAATATCAAAATTATATATTTTTAAAGGAGTTCAGTGTTATGTCATTTCCAGATGATAGTCTTCTTAATAGATTTCAAAATAATTTCTTGATTGAGAACTTGAACTATGACAAGGAAAAATTGTCATTTAATTTTAGAGGATATTTATCTACGATGAATGAAGATCAAAGAAAGATATCTGATGTGATAATTGAAATCTAATATATAAAAGAGGAGGTTTCTTTTTTATATATGGTTACGGGAGACTTGGGAAAACATTTATATAGAAACCAATGTCTACTTCTCAAGAACGAATGGTATGTAAAGCTGTTTTGAATGTTGCATCCAGTGACACTGCAGCATTGTTTTTGCATGGTGGAAGGATATAACAGTCGAGATTCTCAATCTCTCTGGCTTTAACTGAGTGCTCAATGTGTGCTATTAAACAAGGCAGGTCCGAAAAGCAGAATTAATCTAACAAGCAAGTGGAATCATATGAGATGAAGCATGTGTGATGAATAGATATGTTTTTGAGGTATTGGATCACACAATGAGATAGATATTGAGATTCTACAATAATAACTCTAGAAATGAACCATTCAAAGGAAAAATATTAGTACTCGGAAGTGATTTTTGCCACTTCCTTCCAATTTTACCAAAGCTTTGAGAGAGAAAATTATAGGTGCTACTGTGATTTCCCCAAAATAGAGGTTGTATTGTAAAGTTTTTATGTTGAGCAAGAATACGATATTGCATTGATCTATGTCCTCTTACCCAAATAGGGATAAACAAGCTTTTTCTGATTGGATAATCAAAATTGGAGATGGAAAGCTTGGTCAAGTGATTGGTGGAATTGCTGACGTTGAAATTCTTACTGGATTCTTGATTCTTGACATAAGTTATCCTCTCAAGAGTATAGTACTAGAATTCACTTATCTGAAGTTATTGGAGAATATGAAAAAATATACTTTTTTAGGATTAGGCACCATTAGCACCTACTCTCGAAGTTGTTGAAATGGTAAATGAGTTTGTCTTATTCCTCATTCTCAGTGATGGAAAAGGAGTAATTGAGTTATGGTTCTTAATGGCAAGCAGATGCCAACGTAGGTGTTGATGCTTATTGGATAACATTTGAATTTTTGAATGAAATCAAATGTCTAGATGTTCGGGGATCCCAAACCAATTCAAATAATAGTTTTGAAAAAAGGGTACTGATTATGTTATTTGGATTATATAATGGTATAAGATTAATTGTTGAAAAGGTACGAAAAAATGTTAACCGTGCAATCGTGGTTTCGAGAAATCGAGACGGGGAAAAGGTTTACATACCTCGAATAAATTTGGTACCATATGATCCAAGGCTACCCCCTAAAATTTCAAAAAAGACAATTCCCAATAGTTTTATGTTTTGCTATGGCTATTAACAAAAATTATGGTGAAACATTATCTTTTGTTAGATTATTTTAACTACGTCATTATTCACTTATGATTAATTTTATGTTGTTGTTTCACGAGTGAAGAAAAATACATAATTAAAAATGTTTATTTTAGACGACAATAGAAATTCTTGCAACCATACCAAAAATGTTGTATACTCTGAAGTGTTTCAAAAAATTTGGATTCTAATAAGTCTTTGTTTTGTATATACTTTCAATTCTTCAAATATTATTTATTCTATTTTGATGTTGATGTATATATAGTATTAAAAATCATGTAAGAAATTTATTTTATTTAATCCACAAAAAATAATACATGAAAAAAAGAATTGAAAAAAAAATTGTTCGCCCCCGTGCATGGCATGGGTCAAAATACTAGTACGATGACGTGAATATTGAGCATTACAAAGTAAAGTTATGAAGAGATGAAGATGTATATGGAATATTTTTTTCTTTTTTTCAAGTATATGAATAATAATTTATGCCTATTGTCTAAATAAATTTCAAAAACTAACCTTTTACTTTTAGCTACTCCCACTATCTTATAAAATAATTCATCTTCTATTTTTTCTTTTTCTCCAAAACACTTCCACTTTATATCAAAAAATCACCTTTATAATTAAAAAAAATTTTACGCATACTTTCTTATGTTACCTATCACATCATACTTTTTTCTCTAATAATCTATCTATCGCATATTACTTTTACTTGTTACATAAAGGACAAAATTGGAAAGTTCACTCTAAATAGTCTTTTATTTTTGCTCAAAGTCAATATAAGAAGTCTTTATTGAAAAGGAGGGAGTACTTTTTTGAATTTCAAGAAATCTAACACAGAAACTTATGTCTTGACAAGAGTGTGTGAATGAACAGGGTTGAACTCTAAGAGAAATGCTCGATTCATTAACACAATAGTCACAAACTTATTATTTGTAAACTTCAATAAAAATAAGTAGCCTAAAATAATTTTTAAATGAGAATTTAAACCATAAATAGTACTCCGTAACTTCGTAAAATTTTTGACCATATATTCTTTTATACGGAGTATTTGTGAATCTACCACGGCTCAATTGCTAATGTTTAGGTGCGCGGTAGATTTTTTTCCATAAAAAAATACCGAAAATGGACATATATTATTAAGAATTATCAATTTGCTATTTATAGGGTCAAATTTTATTCACTTTTTTTATCTATTTTTACTATTCATTTGATAAAATAATATAATCTTGTCCCATCATTTTTGAAAAGAATTTCTTAGCTTATTTTTTAATTTAACTTTAATATTTATATAAATTAAAACATACTCCGTATAATTTAAATTAGAATAGCGGGACCATCTTTCTAAAGAAAATGTAGGAGATCTAGAAACCACTATAGGCATATTAGCACCTATTAGTACCATGCATCATGGTGTTTCCCCACTTCCCCTAGGATATTAAAGT